GAAACCCGGCGGGCCGTGGCTGTGCCTGACGTCTGTCTGGGGCAAGCCCAGACACGGAGGAGGGAGAGGACAGCCGTCAGGACGACTGTCCACGGCGGGGCTCGGTGACCTCTGCTGAGGTCTTCAGGCTTTTATTATTTCTAAAGAATGCTTTAAAAGATACGTATTGTCCTATATTGCAAATATTTTCTCTTTATAATATGGCTTTAATTTATGATTTTTTAATTTTTGCCATTTAAGCCTTTGGAGTTAAATATATACATGTCAGCTTATTCTCTCCATAGGTCATGTGACTAGAAAATCACTCCCCACTATTAGTAAATATTCAAACGGCTTCTTCTGATAATTTGTGGTTTTACTGTTTTACATGTAAATACTCACAGATGTGAAATTTAATTTGTGAAACGGGGGCAAAGATCTTATTTTGTTAACGGTGAGCCAGTTGCCCCAGTGATTCTTCTCAAATACTTCATTCTCCTTCACTTTTCTGACTTGGCATCCTACTACTACTGAATCTGAGTTTGTCCTTGAATTGCCTTCTGAATACGTTATTCGGGCTGCTTGGCTTTGCCCTCAGTCCCAACCTTGTGAACTGTCACTGTGGGTAAACAGCTTGATCTTCAATGGGTGGAGGCTGAATGAGTTAATGACATAAAGTGGGTTCGTAGGGCCTGAACCAGACCGTCTGCCCGGTAAGCGCCGCTCTCCTCCTGCACAGGTGATGTTGCTTTCTGTCGGTGCTATGACCTGTTCTTCCCCCAACACCCTGATGTTTTAATTTGTTTATAATTTGATTTGCACCACATAGGGTGTGTGCCTCTGGTCACAGTTCCTCTCAAAAACTGTTTAGACATTTCCATGCTTTCTCATTCTTCCATATAAACTGGAGCATAATTTTGTCAAAAATTTTTTGATCGGATTGGAAGAATGGAAATATTGTGCATTACTGAGTCTCTCTGTCCTGGGGGAGGCTCCGTCAGGCTGTTTGTTCAAGCCTCCTTTCATTTTCTCCCATAAAGTTTAGTTAATCTGGATGATTCTACATGTCCATATAATTTCTTGTTAATTTCATTGGGTTTTCTAGGAAGATAATCACATCTTTGGAGAATAATGTTAAAGCGAGGACTTTCGTATACTTAAATGCCTTTTCTTTCTCGGGGGTTATCACCTTGTCAGCAGTCGCAAGCAGGTAGTGACAGTAATTCTGACGGCGACTGCTCTGTGCTGCTCCTTGTCGAGTACAACATGAAGCTCGTGCTGTGATAAACACTGAGGTCAGAAAGAGCTTTCTATCTATTGTTTGAAGACATTTTAAAAAAGATTCATTTATTCATGCTTACAGAACTGGGGTCCAGGCCAGAGGTGTGGAGGGTGAGAGGATTCACCAGAGACAGGGAGGGGAGCAGAGCAAGCAGATGGACGAAGCGCACTGCTGAGGGGAGCCGCGGGGAGACAGGGGAGGTCTGCCGCGCCCTGGGGGTCACCTCCGGGGTGGGGAGCGCACCTGCACTGAAGCAGCTGCGGCCAGCGTGGTGCCGTGTGTCCTAACCCCTGTGCCACAGGGGGCACTTGAAGGCACTTCTAAGACAGCCCAGGGTCAGGTTCGCCCAGAACCCCGGAGCTTCGATGTGCTGCGGGAACAGCCACGTGGCAAGGGCCGAGCCTGCTGGCGAGCGGGACCCGGGCAGACGAGACGGTGCAGGGACGCCCGGAGCCAGACGTGCGGGCGCTGGGGCCCGGGGCAGCGGCTGACGTTGGCAGGCGCGAGGGCACTGCTGGGGCTGGTGGTGCGATGGGCAAGGGGCACCGGAGAGGGGCTGAGAGGCCAGCTGGACGGGGCACGAGGGGTCCAGGGCCGAGCCACTGGGCCTGTCTCAGAGGCAGAGCGCAGGCGAGGCACGCCTCGCAAAGGGTTGACAGGAGCAGGACAGGCGCGTCCTCGATGAGTCTGGACGTGCCCGCGTCGATGGACACGCGCAGCGCGGCCACGCCCACGTGTGGGGACAGAACCAGCCGCCGACGGCGGGGACCTGTGAAAGGGGCCGCGGACAGCTGTCGCCGCTCTCAAGCGTGACTTACCTGTTGAGGGGTCTTGTTGGAGAAAATGATAGCGGAGCCTCCTTCTTCGACTTCAGGGTACTGGGGAAAGTCACCAGTTAAGTTCCTGTGGAGGAGACAGAGGTGAGTGCAGTGCTCGGCTCCCGCTGGGGGCTGCCGCTGCTCCTGTTTGTCTCGCTGGCTGAGGGTTATGGGGGGGGGGGCCCCCGCGGGCCGCGGACCGGCCCAGGACGGCCCCCAGGGGCAGGCTCAGAGACAGACACATCTCTCCTCAAAACAAACCTGCTTTTCTTCCTCCTCCCTGTTTCAAATATTGAGCTACTCTGTGCTCAAGTTAAGAATGAAGAGAAAAGCACAAATCACTTCTTCCTGTTTAAAATTTAGGATAAACACAGGGCTTTGAGACTGAGCAGAGGGGGCCCCCGGACTCAGTGGACAGGCCCGCGGGTGCAGGGGCGCCTCGCTTCCAGGGAGCCCTGCGCCCCGAGTGCTGCGGCTTCCTCGGCACGCAACCCCCATAGCGTCCGCATTTTAAAAAGCAGCATCCGAGATTTAACTTGGGACCTGCGGGTTCAGGAGGGCGGGTAACTGGTATCTGCAAGAGAAACAGACTGGGAAGAGCCTGCTGCCGAGGAAGCCGGGCGCGGCGCGGCGCCCCAATCCACAGACCGGCAGACAGGGGGGTGCGGGGCCGCCGGCTTTCAGGGGTCCAGGAGTGGCTCTCTAACCTGCGGGCTCGGGCCCCGGGGCGCTGGTGATTTTGGAGTATCCCAAGCAGCTCTTATGTACGACAAGTACAGTGATGGAGACTCGCTGTGTTGCGTTAAAGCTGAGAAATTTCTAAACGATGCATGTAAGTGAGTCTAGAAACCACCGTAACCAGCCTGCTACGCGTTCTCATCAACAGCCATCGTCGTGCAGCCTCCCCAGGCGAAGACCTGCCCCCAGGCCTGCCGGCCGGCGGCCCCTCTGCCCAGCTGAAGGACGTCAGCCGGGTCCGTACGTTGTCTGGCTCAAGTGTCAGCGCAGGGCTGGCTCTCCTAAGTCAGCGGAGAGGGGAGGCCTCTGGGCAGCCTCTCAGAGCTGAGTGACCGGCCTTCCCTCCGGCCACAGGCAGCCAGAGCCGCGCGGGTGGGGCCTGAATGCGGCCGGCACCCTCCCGCCCGTCGGGGACAGCCATGGTCTCCACGCGCCCTCGACGCGCCCCGTGGCTCACAGCCCTGCACCAAGGGCCAGCCCTCGCCTCTCCCACGGCGCTCGGCCTCCCAGACCCGGGCAGGAGCACGGGTGGGCACGTCTGATGGCGCCGCTCGGGGCCCTGCCGGCCCTGCTCAAGGAGGGGG